TCAGGAGCTAATTTAGCCATTTAAATCAGCTGTGTTGGTTCAAGGACACATCTAAAACCTGCAGGGACACCGGCCCTCGAGGCCTGGAGTTGCCCACCCCTGCTATAGGCCAACGTCTCCACTTTGGTCTTGTTTATTCAAAGGGCGTTGCAAAGTCTTGTGGTTTGTTCAGCTTTTCAAACCTGAGCTATGCTGCCATGTTACTTTTAGAGAGTAGAGAATTTCTTCTGGCAAGCCTTCCAAACATGTCATACTTGTTCATGATGCTTGTAGAGTCTGAGATGTAGCTCTTGGTTTTTTTGGGGGTTTTTTTTGTGATTTCTCTGAGCATGTCCACTCCTGGGAAGATGGCAACTATCTTGATTTTTTTTTTTTACCAATCACAAAATAACAAAGGCTCATACTTTCTTTGTTTTTCCTCCAGTGTGTTACGGAAGCAGCCTTCCGTTGTGAGCATCCTCTTCACATAGGTCCATATCTTTGATAAAGACCGGGCTCACACTTCAGGGCATAAGTATTTTTTCTAAAAGTAGACTTGTTTGTATGTTTGTTTTGCCCATGGAGTATCGCACTGCATTGCAATAGTTCTTTTTGCATTGGACAGACAGAGATTCAACATCCATCTATTCTTACTGTATTTATTTTTTCCCAATTGATTGGAAATGGCCTTCTAACCCTTGCCAGACTGATGGGCAGCAAGCATCATTTCTCTAAAATCTCTTTAAAATGTCTTTGGCATTCAGGTGTTAGCACATAGTTGGATGCTCCAGACCAGACAAACGTCTGGTTTTATAGAGGTGCCTACACCTGCTGATGATCTATTAACCAAGTAATCAAGGAGCTGATTATTTCTACTGCATCTCAATGCATAAAACCTTAAACCTTAAAATCTTAAAGAGGTTGTACTTTGTTTTTGCCATGGCTGTGGTGTATATCTAATTTTTAGCGACATTTAGATTTACAAGTTCATTCATCTTCAAATAGTATCTGGCAGTGGCCATGTTTTTTCTTAAACTGTTGCCAAAAACAATATCATAAGATGTTCACTCTTTGCAGTTTTGATGTCGACAGCTCTTCTTGCCTCCTAGTATTTTGTTTTTCTTCCTCTTTCTTATCCTCTGCTTGGGTGCTTCCTGTCGCTCTTCGCTCTGTGCTTCTCTACATCACACTGTCCTCTTTCCTTTACGTTAAGTCCTCTATCTTTTTTCTCGTCCTCTGCCAATTTTTTTTGGCCACTATATCTCTCAGTTTTATTGCATCACACGTTTCTAAATAAAGTGTGTTTAAAGAGCAGCAAGTCTTGTCGAGAGGGTACTCCAAATATGTGCTCACTCAGCATGAAATCCAATTAATTAATCTTTATCCCCCACATAGTCGGCAGTACTGCTCTTACAGTGTGACTGGTTACTTCTAGCTGAACAATATGTTCTCTAATTCATGTACTCCATGCTTGGGAGAGCATTTTAGCGCTTGCAGCGGTTGTGTGTTAGTTTTTATGCGCCTGTGCATATTTAGTCTTTCCATGCTTATGTGTGTGGCTCGTAGTGTTTGCTTTTTGTGTGTGTGTGGGAGTGTGAGATTCATCAGCTGGCTGTATGACTGCCAAGGCGGCTGCTTTTTCTGTGTCATCTTTGGCTCTTCTTTGGAAATTCTATTGAGCGTCTTTTAACCTCTGGGACTTAAATGTCTGCTCTCCTTAATTTTCAGAGTTCTGAGTTGTATTCATTATAGATTTCATAAGCAAATGGGCCAGTTCATCCATTATCATCTATGATAATATGACAGTCATATTTTATATTAACTTTTTTGAGACAAACTTATTTTAATACATAAATGTTTGTCTAAATCATCATTTGTCAACCTAAAATACTCGCATGGCCTTTTTGGGGGGTACTTGTCTGTGTTGAGTGCAGATTGCAGTCACATTTCAGAAAATCAGAGCTTGTAGAAACTCACATTTGCTCAAAAGATGGTTGCTCATTAAACTGAGGGTTCAGTGAACTTGAACAACTTTGCCAGAGGACATCAAAGCAAATCTGATGTCAGTCTTTGCAGTTTAGAGCAAATAGACTGCCTAAGCTTTTTGAAACTGTAATCTAAAAGACTATGCAACAGCTCCGCTCTCCTCTGTTTAAAGTACAGAGCATCAGTGGTGGACCTGCCAGTTCTGGTATTTTATGGCAAATACCAGTTGGGCTCCATGGCGCTAGGCAGTAAGAACTGATCCCATCAGAGGGCAGTGGGCCCTCCGGCCACCACAATTAAGTCTGTTTCTGAGAGGTCATTCTGTAGAGCTCTGGCAGTGCTTATCCTGTTCCTCTTCAGGGCTCGCAAAATTTCAAAATCCCTGGTAGCCCTTCGGGCAGGGACTCTTCAGTTTTTGGTAGCCCAAAATAAATTTAAGTAGCCCGAATAAAAAA